ACAATAAAAGTATTGTAAAACAATAAAATTATTATTCCTGGTTCTTTGGGTAAAGTCACCACCACCACCACCACGTATAAGGGAAACAATAAAATAATAAAAATATAAAACAATAAATATTTTTATTATTTTATTGTTTCCCTATCTACGTGGTGGTGACTTTACCCAAAGAACCAAGATTAATAATTTTATTGTTTTATATTTTTATTATTTTATTGTTTCCCTTCTACGTGGTGGTGGTGACTTTACCCAAAGAACCAAGAATAATAATTTTATTGTTTTATATTTTTATTATTTTATTGTTTCCCTTCTAACGTGGTGGTGACTTTACCCAAAGAACCAAGAATAATAATTTTATTGTTTTATATTTTTATTATTTTATTGGTTTATATTTTTATTATTTTATTGTTTCCCTTCTAACGTGGTGGTGGTGGTGACTTTACTCAAAGAACCAAGAATAATAATTTTATTGTTTCATATTTTTATTATTTTATTGTTTCCCTTCTAACGTGGTGGTGACTTTACCCAAAGAACCAAGAATAATAATTTTATTGTTTCATATTTTTATTATTTTATTGTTTTATATTTTTATTATTTTATTGTTTCCCTTCTACGTGGTGGTGACTTTACCCAAAGAACCAAGAATAATATTTTTATTGTTTTATATTTTTATAATTTTATTGTTTCCCTTCTACGTGGTGGTGACTTCACCCAAAGAACCAAGAATAATAATTTTATTGGTTTATATTTTTATTATTTTATTATTTCCCTTCTACGTGGTGGTGGTGACTTTACCCAAAGAACCAAGAATAATATTTTTATTGTTTTATATTTTTATTATTTTATTGTTTCCCTTCTAACGTGGTGGTGGTGGTGGTGACTTTACCCAAAGAACCAAGAATGACTCACCACAGTCTCCAAAGCTTGAAATCGCAACTTGAACGTTATTAAACTTACGAAAATTAACGCTCAAAAAAATAATCTATATAACCTAAACTAGCCCACAACTCAAGTAATAACAACGTCACTCATGAGGCTTGAAAAATAACGAAGTTTAAAAAAAAAATTTTAACTAAAGTTTAAACCTCCCCCAACCCCCGAGGGAGAGAAACTATTAACCTGCAATTTTATTCTTAGTAAGTTTAAAAAAAAAAAATTTCCACAAGCAAAACAAAAAGTAACAACGTGAACAGCATGAACTAACGCATCTACAAAAATAATTAAAACGGCAAAAACTAAAAATGACAAAAAAATTATAACGAACTCAACCAAAGCACGAAAGATCAATAATCAAACCGGCAGAGCGCACTAGCCAAAAAGCGAGCGTCACTAGTTCTAAACAAAATAATCGATAAAACAAAATAATCGATAAAAAATAATCGATAAAACAAAATAATCGATAAAACATAATCGATAAACCAAAATAATCGATAAAAAATAATCGATAAAACAAAATAATCGAAACCCGGCAAAGGCAAAATAATCGATAAGCTGAATAAAAAAAAACTATAGAAATGAGCAGAACCAAAATACTTGACACCAGCGCAGCCAAAATAATCGATAATCGATAAACAAAAAATAATAATCAACACACTAGCAGAACCAACAACAACCGATAACAAAAAAATAATCGAACAAAAAAACTAGCACGGGCAAAATAATCGATAACCAAAATAATCGATAACCAAAATAATCGATAACCAAAATAATGGCTAACGCAAAAAAATAACAGAAACCATACCCAAAAAGAAATCGATAACCAAAAAAAATCGATAACAAAAATAATCGATGACAAAAATAATCGATGACAAAAATAATCGATAACAAAAATAATCGATAACCAAAATAATCGATAATCAAAATAATCAAAACTCCGCCTCACCAGAAAATAATCGAAAACGCTAACGACGAGCGGGCGGGCGGGGGAGTGAACAGGCGGTGATTAAACTTGGTTGGTCACGTGACTGTTGCAGTGGTGGTGATAGTGGTGATGGTGGTGGTGATGGTGGTGGTGATGGTGGTGATGGTGGTGATGGTGATGGTGGTGATGGTGGTGGTGATGGTGGTGATGGTGATGGTGGTGGTGATGGTGGTGATGGTGGTGGTGATGGTGGTGGTGGTGGTGATGGTGGTGGTGGTGATGATGGTGGTGGTGATGGTGGTGGTGATGGTGGTGGTGGTGGTGGTGATGGTGGTGGTAGTGATGGTGGTGATGGTGGTGATGGTGGTGGTGATGGTGGTGATGGTGGTGATGATGGTGGTGATGGTGGTTAGTGATGATGATGCTGGTGGTGATGGTCGTGGTGGTTATGGTAGTGGTGATGATAGTGATGATTGTGACTCAGCTAAGATTAAATTAACAACTTTGAACTGAAAAATCCAAAAAAATAAATATATGAAACGAGCTGGGAGGATGATAACGAAAACCTGTGGAGAGAGACACGGGGGGAGAGAGACACGGGGGGAGAGACACGGGGAGACAGACACACGGGGAGAGAGAGACACGGGGAGAGAGAGACACGGGGAGAGAGACACACGGGGAGAGAGACACACGGGGAGAGAGAGACACCGGGAGAGAGACACGGGGAGAGAGAGACACGGGGAGAGAGAGAGACACGGGGTGAGAGAGAGACACGGGGAGAGAGAGAGACACGGGGAGAGAGAGAGACACGGGGAGAGAGAGAGACACGGGGAGAGAGAGAGACACGGGGAGAGAGAGACACGGGGAGAGAGAGACACGGGGAGAGAGAGACACGGGGAGAGAGACACGGGGAGGGAGACACGGGGAGAGAGACACGGGGAGAGAGACACGGGGAGAGAGACACGGGGAGAGAGAGAGACACGGGGAGAGAGAGAGACACGGGGAGAGAGAGACACGGGGAGAGAGAGACACGGGGAGAGAGAGAGACACGGGGAGAGAGAGATACGGGGAGAGAGAGAGACACGGGGAGAGAGAGAGACACGGGGAGAGAGACACGGGGAGAGAGAGACACGGGGAAAGAGAGACACGGGGAGAGAGAGACACGGGGAGAGAGAGACACGGGGAGAGAGACACGGGGAGAGAGAGACACGGGGAGAGAGAGACACGGGGAGAGAGAGACACGGGGAGAGAGAGACACGGGGAGAGAGAGACACGGGGAGAGAGAGAGACACGGGGAGAGAGAGAGACACGGGGAGAGAGAGAGACACGGGGAGAGAGAGAGACACGGGGAGAGAGAGAGACACGGGGAGAGAGACACACGGGGAGAGAGACACACGGGGAGAGAGAGACACCGGGAGAGAGACACGGGGAGAGAGAGACACGGGGAGAGAGAGAGACACGGGGAGAGAGAGAGACACGGGGAGAGAGAGAGACACGGGGAGAGAGAGAGACACGGGGAGAGAGAGAGACACGGGGAGAGAGAGAGACACGGGGAGAGAGAGACACGGGGAGAGAAAGACACGGGGAGAGAGAGACACGGGGAGAGAGACACGGGGAGGGAGACACGGGGAGAGAGACACGGGGAGAGAGACACGGGGAGAGAGACACGGGGAGAGAGAGAGACACGGGGAGAGAGAGAGACACGGGGAGAGAGAGACACGGGGAGAGAGAGACACGGGGAGAGAGAGAGACACGGGGAGAGAGAGATACGGGGAGAGAGAGAGACACGGGGAGAGAGAGAGACACGGGGAGAGAGACACGGGGAGAGAGAGACACGGGGAAAGAGAGACACGGGGAGAGAGAGACACGGGGAGAGAGAGACACGGGGAGAGAGACACGGGGAGAGAGAGACACGGGGAGAGAGAGACACGGGGAGAGAGAGACACGGGGAGAGAGAGACACGGGGAGAGAGAGACACGGGGAGAGAGAGACACGGGGGAGAGAGAGAGACACGGGGAGAGAGAGAGACACGGGGAGAGAGAGACATGGGGAGAGAGAGACACGGGGAGAGAGAGACACGGGGAGAGAGAGAGACACGGGGAGAGAGAGAGACACGGGGAGAGAGAGAGACACGGGGAGAGAGAGATACGGGGAGAGAGAGAGACACGGGGAGAGAGACACGGGGAGAGAGAGACACGAGGAAAGAGAGACACGGGGAGAGAGAGAGACACGGGGAGAGAGAGAGACACGGGGAGAGAGAGAGACACGGGGAGAGAGACACGGGGAGAGAGAGACACGGGGAGAGAGAGAGACACGGGGAGAGAGAGAGACACGGGGAGAGAGAGAGACACGGGGAGAGAGACACGGGGAGAGAGAGACACGGGGAGAGAGAGACACGGGGAGAGAGAGACACGGGGAGAGAGACACGGGGAGAGAGAGACACGGGGAGAGAGACACGGGGAGAGAGAGAGACACGGGGAGAGAGAGAGACACGGGGAGAGAGACACGGGGAGAGAGAGACACGGGGAGAGAGACACGGGGAGAGAGAGACACGGGGAGAGAGAGATACGGGGAGAGAGAGAGACACGGGGAGAGAGACACGGGGAGAGAGAGACACGGGGAAAGAGAGACACGGGGAGAGAGAGAGACACGGGGAGAGAGAGAGACACGGGGAGAGAGAGAGACACGGGGAGAGAGACACGGGGAGAGAGAGACACGGGGAGAGAGACACGGGGAGAGAGAGAGACACGGGGAGAGAGAGAGACACGGGGAGAGAGAGAGACACGGGGAGAGAGAGAGACACGGGGAGAGAGAGAGACACGGGGAGAGAGAGAGACACGGGGAGAGAGACACGGGGAGAGAGAGACACGGGGAGAGAGAGACACGGGGAGAGAGACACGGGGAGAGAGAGACACGGGGAGAGAGAGACACGGTTGCCAGCCTTCCTCCTCCTCCTCCTCCTCCACTTCCTCCTCCACCACCTCCTCCTCCTCCACCACCACCTCCTCCTCCTCCTCCACCACCACCTCCTCCTCCTCCTCCTCCACCACCACCTCCTCCTCCTCCTCCTCCTCCACCTCCTCCTCCTCCTCATCCTCCTCCTCCTCCTCCACCACCTCCTCCTCCACCACCTCCTCGTCCTCCTCCTCCTCCACCTCCTCCTCCTCGTCCTCCTCCTCCTCGTCCACCTCCTCAGGGTTTGTGAGCCTTGCCCGTCTTGAAGGAGACTTGTAGGACACGCTCGCCCAGCTGCGTACCGTTCAGCGACTCGATGGCCATCAGCGCCTCGTCATAGTTGCCCATCGTGACAAAGCCAAAGCCCTTGCACTTGTTACTTGCAAAGTCACGGATCACCTGCACAGGCGTGGCGGACGGGGGGACAGCGACAGAGAGACACAGAGAGAGAGACGCAGAGAGAGAGACACAGAGAGAGAGGCAGAGACAGAGACACAGAGAGAGAGACACAGAGAGAGAGAGACACGGGGAGAGAGAGAGACACAGTGAGAGAGACACAGCGAGAGAGACAGAGAGACACACAGAGACAGAGACACATTGAGAGAGACACAGTGAGAGACACAGAGACACAGCGAGAGACAGAGAGAGAGACACAGAGACACAGAGAGACACAGTGAGAGAGACACAGTGAGAGAGACGCAGAGAGAGACACAGCGAGAGAGACACAGAGACAGAGAGACACAGAGAGAGAGTGAGCGAGACACAGCGAGAGAGACACAGCGAGAGAGACACAAAGACACACAGAGACAGAGACACAGCGACAGAGAGACAGAGAGAGTGAGCGAGACACAGCGAGAGAGACACAGAGAGAGAGAGACACAGAGACAGAGACACAGCGACAGAGAGACAGAGAGAGAGAGTGAGCGAGACACAGCGAGAGAGACACAGAGACACAGAGACAGAGACACAGCGAGAGAGACACAGAGACAGAGAGACACAGAGACACAGAGACAGAGACACAGCGAGAGAGACACAGTGAGAGAGACACAGTGAGAGAGACACAGAGACAGAGACACAGCGAGAGAGACAGAGAGAGAGACACATAGAGAGACACAGAGACAGAGACACAGCGACAGAGAGACAGAGAGAGAGACACAGAGAGAGACACAGAGACACACAGAGACAGAGACACAGAGACACACAGTGAGAGAGACACAGCGAGAGAGACACAGAGACACACAGAGACAGAGACACAGCGAGAGAGACACATAGAGAGAGACACAGAGACACACAGAGACAGAGACACACAGTGAGAGAGACACAGCGAGAGAGACACAGACACACAGAGACACAGAGACACACAGAGACACAGAGACACACAGTGAGAGAGACACAGAGACAGAGACACAGCGAGAGAGACACAGCGAGAGAGAGGCAGAGAGAGACAGCGAGAGACACAGAGACAGAGACACAGAGACACAGCGAGAGAGACACAGTGAGAGAGACACAGAGACACAGCGAGAGAGACACAGTGAGAGAGACACAGCGAGAGAGACACAGTGAGAGAGACACAGTGAGAGAGACACAGAGACACAGCGAGAGAGACACAGTGAGAGAGACACAGCGAGAGAGACACAGTGAGAGAGACACAGAGACAGAGACACAGTGAGAGAGACACAGAGACACAGTGAGAGAGACAGACATAGAGACAGAGAGAGACACAGAGACACAGACACAGTGAGAGAGACACAGAGACAGAGAAATGGGTCTCTGCGTGTCTCCGTGAGTGTCTCTGTGAGTGTCTCTGTGAGTCCCTGTGAGTCTCTGTGTGTCTCTGTGTGTCTCTCTGTGTCTCTCTGTGTCTCTCTGTGTCTCTGTGTCTCTGCGTGTCTCTGCGTGTCTCTCTGTGTGTCTGTGTCTCTCTCTGTGTCTCTCTGTGTGTCTCTCTGTGTGTCTCTCTCTGTGTCTCTCTGTGTCTCTCTCTATGTCTCTCTCTGTGTCTCTCTCTGTGTCTCTGTGTGTCTCTGCGTCTCTGTGTCTCTCTGTCTCTCTCTGTGTGTCTGTGTGTCTCTGTGTCTCTCTGTGAGTCTGTGTCTCTCTCTGTGTGTCTCTGTGTCTCTCTGTGAGTCTCTGTGTCTCTCTGTGAGTCTCTGTGTCTCTCTGTGTCTCTGTGTATCTCTGTCTCTGTGAGTCTGTCTCTCTCTGTGAGTCTCTGTGTCTCTCTCTGTGAGTCTCTGTGTCTTTCTGTGTCTCTGTGTCTCTCTGTGAGTCTGTGTCTCTCTCCGTGTCTCTCTGTGAGTCTCCGTGAGTCTCTGTGAGTCTCTGAGTGTCTCTGTGAGTCTCTGTGAGTCTCTGTGTGAGTCTCTGTGTGTCTCTGTCTCTCTGTGTTTCTGTGTCCCTGTGTGTCTCTGTGTCTCTGTGAGTCTCTGTGAGTCTCTGTGTGTCTCTGTGTGTTTCTGTGTCTGTGTGTCTCTGTGAGTCTCTGTGTGTCTCTGTGTCTTTAACTGTGTCTCTCTGTGTGTCTCTGTGAGTCTCTGTGAGTCTCTGTGTGTCTCTGCGAGTCTCTGTTGTGTCTCTGCGAGTCTCCGAGTGCCTCTGTGAGTCTCTGTGTGTCTCTGTGTGTTTCTGTGTGTCTCTGTGAGTCTCTGTGTGTCTCTGCGAGTCTCTGTTGTGCCTCTGTGAGTCTCCGAGTGCCTCTGTGAGTCTCCGAGTGCCTCTGTGTCTCTCTGTGTGTCTCTGTGAGTCTCTGTGTCTCTGTGTGTCTCTGTTGTGTCTCTGCGAGTCTCCGAGTGTCTCTGTGAGTCTCTGTGTGTCTCTGTGAGTCTCAGTGTGTCTCTGAGTGTCTCTGTGTGTCTCTGTGTGTCTCTGTTGTGTCTCTGTGAGTCTCTGTGTGTCTCTGTGTGTCTCTGTGTGTCTCTGTGTGTCTCTGTTGTGTCTCTGCGAGTCTCCGAGTGCCTCTGTGAGTCTCTGTGTGTCTCTGTGAGTCTCAGTGTGTCTCTGAGTATCCCATCTACCTCACCAGCACCGCTCACCTTGACGCTTGACACCGCAACGGACCAAACATCTTCCACACCACTCTCTCACAACTACTCACCACCACACTCACCACCAGTACACTCACCACTCTCTCACAACTACTCACCACCACACTCACCACCAGTACACTCACCACTCTCTCACAACTACTCACCACCACACTCACCACCAGTACACTCACCACTCTCTCACAACTACTCACCACCACACTCACCACCAGTACACTCACCACTCTCTCACAACTACTCACCACCACACTCACCACCAGTACACTCACCACTCTCTCACAACTACTCACCACCACACTCACCACCAGTACACTCACCACTCTCTCACAACTACTCACCACCACCACACTCACCACCACACTCACCACCACACTCACCACCACACTCACCACCACACTCACCACCACCACACTCACCACCACTACACTCACCACCACACTCACCACCACTACACTCACCACCACACTCACCACCACCACACTCACCACCACACTCACCACCACCACACTCACCACCACCACACTCACCACCACTACACTCACCACCACACTCACCACCACTACACTCACCACCACACTCACCACCACTACACTCACCACCACACTCACCACCACTACACTCACCACCACACTCACCACCAGCACCACACTCACCACCACCACCACACTCACCACCACACTCACCCTCACCACCACCACCCTCACCACCACTCACCACCACTCACCACCCTCACCACCACCCTCACCACCACTCACCACACTCACCACCACCCTCACCACCGCTCACCACCACTCACCACACTCACCACTCACCACCACCACGCTCACCTTAACGCTGGACACTGCACCGAAGGGCCCAAACATCTGCCACAGCACCCTCTCATCACCACCACACTCACCACTCACCACCACACTCACCACCACACTCACCACCACTCACCACCACTCACCACCACACTCACCACACTCACCACCACTCACCACCACCACTCACCTTGACGCTGGACACTGCACCCAAGGGCCCAAACATCTGCCACAGCACCCTCTCATCACCACCACACTCACCACCACACTCACCACCACTCACCACCACACTCACCACACTCACCACCACACTCACCACCACACTCACCACACTCACCACCACACTCACCACCACGCTCACCTTGACGCTGGACACTGCACCGAAGGGCCCAAACATCTGCCACAGCACCCTCTCATCACCACCACACTCACCACCACACTCACCACCACACTCACCACCACACTCACCACCACACTCACCACCACTCACCACTCACCACCACCACTCACCTTGACGCTGGACACTGCACCGAAGGGCCCAAACATCTGCCACAGCACCCTCTCATCACCACCACACTCACCACCACTCACCACCACACTCACCACCACTCACCACCACCACTCACCTTGACGCTGGACACTGCACCGAAGGGCCCAAACATCTGCCACAGCACCCTCTCATCACCACTCACCACCACTCACCACCACACTCACCACCACTCACCACCACTCACCACCACACTCACCACCACTCACCACCACTCACCACACTCACCTTGACGCTGGACACTGCACCGAAGGGCCCAAACATCTGCCACAGCACCCTCTCATCACCACCACACTCACCACCACACTCACCACCACTCACCACCACCACACTCACCACCACCACACTCACCACCACTCACCACCACACTCACCACCACTCACCACTCACCACCACCGCTCACCTTGACGCTGGACACTGCACCGAAGGGCCCAAACATCTGCCACAGCACCCTCTCATCACCACCACACTCACCACACTCACCACCACTCACCACCACTCACCACCACTCACCACTCACCACCACCACTCACCTTGACGCTGGACACTGCACCGAAGGGCCCAAACATCTGCCACAGCACCCTCTCGTCGGCCTCCGGTCCGAGGTTGTAAACAAAGAGGCAGAATCCTCCACCGCCTCCCCCTCCACCACCGCCTCCACCGCCTCCTCCTCCACCGCCTCCGCCGCCTCCGTGGTGGTGGTGAGGAGCGGAGGCCGAGTGGTGAGGAGCGGAGGCCGAGTGGTGAGGAGCGGAGGCGCCCGCGTTTGGGTGGTGGTGGTGGTGGTGGTGAGCGTTGGACGAGTGGTGAGGACCGGTGATCCCTCCCACTCCTCCTCCCACTCCTCCCACTCCTCCTCCTCCTCCGAGGTGAGCGACCGAGTGGTGAGCGGCGGCTGAGGCGGTAGAGGCGGCTTGGGGGTGGTGGTGGTGGTGGTGAGGAGCGGGGTGGTGGTGGTGGTGAGGAGCGGGGTGGTGGTGGTGGTGGTGGTGGTGGGAGGAGCCGGGGCCGCCCATCGAGTCGCCGAGAGGCGAGTAGCTGTGGGGTGGGTGGGTGGTGAGAGACACGGGGGGAGAGAGTAGTGTATAGTGTAGTGTAGTAGTGTATAGTGTAGTGTATAGTGTAGTGTAGTAGTGTAGTGTAGTGTAGTAGTGTAGTGGTGTAGTGGTGTAGTAGTGTAGTGTAGTAGTGTAGTGTGTAGTGGTGTAGTAGTGTAGTAGTGTATAGTGTAGTGTAGTAGTGTGTATAGTGTAGTGTAGTAGTGTATAGTGTAGTAGTGTATAGTGTAGTGTAGTAGTGTAGTAGTGTGTAGTAGTGTAGTGTAGTAGTGTGTAGTAGTGTAGTGTATAGTGTAGTGTAGTAGTGTAGTGTAGTAGTGTAGTGTGTAGTGGTGTAGTAGTGTAGTAGTGTATAGTGTAGTGTAGTAGTGTGTATAGTGTAGTGTAGTAGTGTATAGTGTAGTAGTGTATAGTGTAGTGTAGTAGTGTAGTAGTGTGTAGTAGTGTAGTGTAGTAGTGTGTAGTAGTGTAGTGTATAGTGTAGTGTAGTAGTGTAGTGTAGTAGTGTAGTGTGTAGTGGTGTAGTAGTGTAGTAGTGTATAGTGTAGTGTAGTAGTGTGTATAGTGTAGTGTAGTAGTGTATAGTGTAGTAGTGTATAGTGTAGTGTAGTAGTGTAGTAGTGTGTAGTAGTGTAGTGTAGTAGTGTGTAGTAGTGTAGTGTATAGTGTAGTGTAGTAGTAGTGTAGTGTATAGTGTAGTGTATAGTGTAGTGTAGTAGTGTATAGTGTAGTGTAGTAGTGTATAGTGTAGTGTAGTAGTGTATAGTGTAGTGTACTAGTGTAGTGTATAGTGTAGTGTAGTAGTGTATAGTGTAGTGTAGTAGTGTATAGTGTAGTAGTGTATAGTGTAGTGTAGTAGTGTATAGTGTAGTAGTGTATAGTGTAGTGTAGTAATGTATAGTGTAGTGTAGTAGTGTATAGTGTAGTGTAGTAGTGTATAGTGTAGTGTAGTAGTGTAGTGTAGTAGTGTATAGTGTAGTGTAGTAGTGTAGTGTATAGTGTATAGTGTAGTAGTGTATAGTGTAGTGTAGTAGTGTGGTGTGTAGTGTAGTGTAGTAGTGTATAGTGTAGTGTAGTAGTGTATAGTGTAGTGTAGTAGTGTATAGTGTAGTGTAGTAGTGTATAGTGTAGTAGTGTATAGTGTAGTAGTGTATAGTGTAGTGTAGTAGTGTAGTGTATAGTGTAGTAGTGTATAGTGTAGTGTAGTAGTGTATAGTGTAGTGTAGTAGTGTATAGTGTAGTGTAGTAGTGAATAGTGTAGTAGTGTATAGTGTAGTAGTGTAGTGTAGTAGTGTATAGTGTAGTGTAGTAGTGTAGTGTAGTAGTGTATAGTGTAGTGTAGTAGTGTATAGTGTAGTGTAGTAGTGTATAGTGTAGTAGTGTATAGTGTAGTGTAGTAGTGTATAATGTAGTGTAGTAGTGTATAGTGTAGTGTAGTGGTGTATAGTGTAGTGTAGTAGTGTATAGTGTAGTGTAGTAGTGTAGTGTATAGTGTAGTAGTGTATAGTGTAGTGTAGTAGTGTGGTGTGTAGTGTAGTAGTGTATAGTGTAGTGTAGTAGTGTATAGTGTAGTAGTGTATAGTGTAGTGTTGTATAGTGTAGTGTAGTAGTGTATAGTGTAGTAGTGTATAGTGTAGTGTAGTAGTGTAGTGTATAGTGTAGTAGTGTATAGTGTAGTGTAGTAGTGTATAGTGTAGTGTAGTAGTGTAGTGTAGTAGTGTAGTGTAGTAGTGTATAGTGTAGTGTAGTAGTGTATAGTGTAGTGTAGTAGTGTATAGTGTAGTAGTGTATAGTGTAGTAGTGTAGTGTAGTAGTGTATAGTGTAGTGTAGTAGTGTGTAGTGTAGTAGTGTAGTGTAGTAGTGTATAGTGTAGTGTAGTAGTGTATAGTGTAGTGTAGTAGTGTATAGTGTAGTGTAGTAGTGTAGTGTAGTAGTGTAGTGTAGTAGTGTATAGTGTAGTGTAGTAGTGTATAGTGTAGTGTAGTAGTGTAGTGTAGTAGTGTATAGTGTAGTGTAGTAGTGTATAGTGTAGTGTAGTAGTGTAGTGTGTAGTAGTGTATAGTGTAGTGTAGTAGTGTAGTGTGTAGTGTAGTAGTGTAGTGTGTAGTGTAGAGTGTAGTGTATAGTGTAGTGTGTAGTGTATAGTGTAGTGTATAGTGTAGTGTGTAGTGTAGTGTATAGTGTAGTGTGTAGTGTATAGTGTAGTAGTGTATAGTGTAGTAGTGTATAGTGTAGTAGTGTATAGTGTAGTGTATAGTGTAGTAGTGTATAGTGTAGTAGTGTATAGTGTAGTGTAGTAGTGTATAGTGTAGTAGTGTATAGTGTAGTGTAGTAGTGTATAGTGTAGTGTAGTAGTGTATAGTGTAGTAGTGTATAGTGTAGTGTAGTGTATAGTGTAGTAGTGTATAGTGTAGTGTAGTAGTGTATAGTGTAGTGTAGTAGTGTAGTGTAGTAGTGTATAGTGTAGTGTAGTAGTGTATAATGTAGTGTAGTAGTGTATAGTGTAGTGTAGTAGTGTAGTGTAGTAGTGTAGTGTAGTAGTGTATAGTGTAGTGTAGTAGTGTAGTGTAGTAGTGTAGTGTGTAGTAGTGTATAGTGTAGTGTAGTAGTGTAGTGTATAGTGTAGTGTAGTAGTGTAGTGTGTAGTGTAGTGTAGTAGTGTATAGTGTAGTGTGTAGTGTATAGTGTAGTGTGTAGTGTATAGTGTAGTGTGTAGTGTAGTGTGTAGTGTATAGTGTAGTAGTGTATAGTGTAGTAGTGTATAGTGTAGTAGTGTATAGTGTAGTAGTGTATAGTGTAGTGTATAGTGTAGTAGTGTATAGTGTAGTAGTGTATAGTGTAGTGTAGTAGTGTATAGTGTAGTGTAGTAGTGTATAGTGTAGTGTAGTAGTGTATAGTGTAGTGTAGTAGTGTGTAGTGTAGTAGTGTATAGTGTAGTGTAGTAGTGTATAGTGTAGTGTATAGTGTAGTGTAGTAGTGTATAGTGTAGTAGTGTATAGTGTAGTGTAGTAGTGTATAGTGTAGTAGTGTATAGTGTAGTAGTGTAGTGTAGTAGTGTGTAGTGTAGTAGTGTATAGTGTAGTGTAGTAGTGTGTAGTGTATAGTGTAGTGTGTAGTGTAGTGTATAGTGTAGTGTATAGTGTAGTAGTGTATAGTGTAGTAGTGTATAGTGTAGTAGTGTATAGTGTAGTGTATAGTGTAGTGTATAGTGTAGTGTAGAGTACCGGAATCGTTGTGCCTGGTGGTACAGGGGCCCTCCATAGCGCCTGTGAGCCGCTTGGTTGATCTGTGTGAGCAGCGTTGGCGATGCCTTTTTATTCGGAGCGCTTGCCACCTGCAGCATCACCAGTAACATCATCATCAGTGGGAACAACATCATCATCAGTAACATCATCATCATCATCAGTGGTAACATCATCAGTAACATCATCATCATCAGTAACATCAGCAGCAGTAACATCATCATCAGCAGCAGTAACATCATCATCAGCAACATCATCATCAGTAACATCATCATCATCAGTAACATCATCATCATCATCAGTAAAATCATCATCAGTAACATCATCATCATCAGTAACATCATCATCATCATCAGTAACATCATCATCGTCATCATCAGTAACATCATCATCAGTAACATCATCAGTGGTAACATCATCATCAGTAGTAGTATCATCATCATCAGTAACATCATCATCAGTAACATCATCATCATCATCAGTAACATCATCATCAGTAACATCATCATCATCAGTGGTAACATCATCATCATCAGTAACATCATCATCATCAGTAACATCATCATCATCAGTAACATCATCAGCAGCAGCATCATCATCAGTAACATCATCATCATCATCAGTAACATCATCATCAGCAGCAGTAGCAGCAGCATAAGCAGCAGCATCAGCGGTAACATCATCATATATTACTTGATATATGTACTATAGTAGTACTACTATAGTACTAGTACTACTATAGTAGTACTAGTACTATAGTACTAGTACTACTATAGTACTAGTACTACAGTAATAGTATTCACCTTGACGCTGATTGGCTCCGTCGCCCCGCTAGGCTTGTGACCGTTCAACAGGCGAATGGCTGTAGTACTAGTACTATAGTAGTACTACTACTATAGTACTATATAGTACTAGTACTATAGTAGTAGTATAATACTACAGTAATAGTATTCACCTTGACGCTGATTGGCTCCGTAGCTCCGCTAGGCTTGTGACCGTTCAACAGGCGAATGGCTGTAGTACTAGTACTATATAGTAGTACTACTACTATATAGTACTAGTACTATAGTAGTACTAGTACTATAGTAATAGTATTCACCTTGACGCTGATTGGCTCCGTCGCCCCGCTAGGCTTGTGACCGTTCAACAGGCGAATGGCTGTAGTACTAGTACTATAGTAGTACTACTATAGTACTAGTACTACAGTAGTAGTACTAGTACTATAGTACTACAGTAGTAGTACTATAGTAGTACTAGTACTATAGTAGTACTAGTACTATAGTAGTAGTATTCACCTTGACGCTGATTGGCTCCGTCGCCCCGCTAGGCTTGTGACCGTTCAACAGGCGAATGGCTGTAGTACTAGTACTATAGTAGTACTACTACTATAGTACTAGTACTATAGTAGTAGTACTACTATAGTACAAGTACTACAGTACTAGTACTATAGTAATAGTGTTCACCTTGACGCTGATTGGCTCCGTCGCCCCGCTAGGCTTGTGTCCGTTCAACAGGCGAATGGCTGTAGTACTAGTACTATAGTAGTACTACTACTATAGTACTAGTACTATAGTAGTAGTATTCACCTTGACGCTGATTGGCTCCGTAGCTCCGCTAGGCTTGTGTCCGTTCAACAGGCGAATGGCTGTAGTACTAGTACTATAGTAGTAGTACTACTATAGTACTAGTACTACTATAGTAATAGTATTCACCTTGACGCTGATTGGCTCCGTAGCTCCGCTAGGCTTGTGTCCGTTCAACAGGCGAATGGCTGTAGTACTAGTACTATAGTAGTAGTAGTACTACTATAGTACTAGTACTACTATAGTAATAGTATTCACCTTGACGCTGATTGGCTCCGTAGCTCCGCTAGGCTTGTGTCCGTTCAACAGGCGAATGGCTGTAGTACTAGTACTATAGTAGTAGTAGTACTACTATAGTACTAGTACTACTATAGTAATAGTATTCACCTTGACGCTGATTGGCTCCGTAGCTCCGCTAGGCTTGTGTCCGTTCAACAGGCGAATGGCTGTAGTACTAGTACTATAGTAGTAGTACTAGTACTATAGTAATAGTATTCACCTTGACGCTGATTGGCTCCGTAGCTCCGCTAGGCTTGTGACCGTTCAACAGGCGAATGGCTGTAGTACTAGTACTATACTAGTACTACTATAGTACTACTATAGTAGTAGTACTAGTACTATAGTAATAGTATTCACCTTGACGCTGATTGGCTCCGTAGCTCCGCTAGGCTTGTGTCCGTTCAACAGGCGAATGGCTGTAGTACTAGTACTATACTAGTACTACTATAGTAGTAGTACTAGTACTATAGTAATAGTATTCACCTTGACGCTGATTGGCTCCGTAGCTCCGCTAGGCTTGTGTCCGTTCAACAGGCGAATGGCTGTAGTACTAGTACTATAGTAGTAGTACTAGTACTATAGTAATAGTATTCACCTTGACGCTGATTGGCTCCGTAGCTCCGCTAGGCTTGTGACCGTTCAACAGGCGAATGGCTGTAGTACTAGTACTATAGTAGTACTACTATAGTACTAGTACTACTATAGTAATAGTATTCACCTTGACGCTGATTGGCTCCGTAGCTCCGCTAGGCTTGTGTCCGTTCAGCAGGCGAATGGCTGTAGTACTAGTACTATAGTAGTACTACTATAGTACTAGTACTACTATAGTAATAGTATTCACCTTGACGCTGATTGGCTCCGTAGCTCCGCTAGGCTTGTGACCGTTCAACAGGCGAATGGCTGTAGTACTAGTACTATACTAGTACTACTATAGTACTAGTACTATAGTAGTAGTACTACTATAGTACTAGTACTACTATAGTAATAGTATTCACCTTGACGCTGATTGGCTCCGTAGCTCCGCTAGGCTTGTGACCGTTCAACAGGCGAATGGCTGTAGTACTAGTACTATACTAGTACTACTACTATAGTACTAGTACTACAGTAGTAGTATTCACCTTGACGCTGATTGGCTCCGTAGCTCCGCTAGGCTTGTGACCGTTCAACAGGCGAATGGCTGTAGTACTAGTACTATAGTAGTACTACTATAGTACTAGTACTACTACTATAGTACTAGTACTACAGTAGTAGTATTCACCTTGACGCTGATTGGCTCCGTAGCTCCGCTAGGCTTGTGTCCGTTCAACAGGCGAATGGCTGTAGTACTACTACTATAGTAGTACTACTATAGTACTAGTACTACAGTAGTAGTATTCACCTTGACGCTGATTGGCTCCGTAGCTCCGCTAGGCTTGTGACCGTTCAACAGGCGAATGGCTGTAGTACTAGTACTATACTACTAGTACTACTATAGTACTAGTACTATAGTAGTACTAGTACTATAGTAGTAGTACTACTATAGTACTAGTACTACAGTAGTAGTATTCACCTTGACGCTGATTGGCTCCGTAGCTCCGCTAGGCTTGTGTCCGTTCAACAGGCGAATGGCTGTAGTACTAGTACTATAGTAGTACTACTATAGTACTAGTACTACAGTAGTAGTACTAGTACTATAGTAATAGTATTCACCTTGACGCTGATTGGCTCCGTAGCCCCGCTAGGCTTGTGTCCGTTCAACAGGCGAATGGCTGTAGTACTAGTACTATAGTAGTACTACTATAGTACTAGTACTACTATAGTAGTAGTATTCACCTTGACGCTGATTGGCTCCGTAGCTCCGCTAGGCTTGTGTCCGTTCAACAGGCGAATGGCTGTAGTACTAGTACTATAGTAGTACTACTATAGTACTAGTACTACTATAGTAGTAGTATTCACCTTGACGCTGATTGGCTCCGTAGCTCCGCTAGGCTTGTGACCGTTCAACAGGCGAATGGCTGTAGTACTAGTACTATAGTAGTACTACTATAGTACTAGTACTACTATAGTAGTAGTATTCACCTTGACGCTGATTGGCTCCGTAGCTCCGCTAGGCTTGTGACCGTTCAACAGGCGAATGGCTGTAGTACTAGTACTATAGTAGTAGTACTAGTACTATAGTAGTAGTATTCACCTTGACGCTGATTGGCTCCGTAGCTCCGCTAGGCTTGTGACCGTTCAACAGGCGAATGGCTGTAGTACTAGTACTATAGTAGTAGTACTAGTACTATAGTAGTAGTATTCACCTTGACGCTGATTGGCTCCGTAGCTCCGCTAGGCTTGTGACCGTTCAGCAGGCGAATGGCTGTAGTACTAGTACTATAGTAGTACTAGTACTATAGTAGTACTAGTACTATAGTAATAGTATTCACCTTGACGCTGATTGGCTCCGTAGCTCCGCTAGGCTTGTGTCCGTTCAACAGGCGAATCGCTTCCTCTGCCTCAGTCTTCTTGTCAAAGCGAATAAACGCCACGCCTCTCGAGATGCCTACACACACAGATAGACACACACAGATAGACACACACATAGATAGACACACACAGATAGACACACACAGATAGACACACACAGATAGACACACACAGATAGACACACACACAGATAGACACACACAGATAGACACACAGATAGACACACACAGAGAGACACACACAGAGAGACACACAGACACACACAGATAGACACACACAGATAGACACACACATAGATAGACACACACATAGATACACACAGATAGACACATAGATAGACACACACCTCTCGAGATGCCTACACACACAGATAGACACAGATAGACACACAGATAGACAGATAGACACACACAGATAGACACACACAGATAGACACACACAGACACACAGATAGACACACACACAGATAGACACACAGATAGACACAGATAGACACACAGATAGACACACAGATAGACACACACACAGACACACACAGAGAGACACACACAGATAGACACACAGATAGACACACACACAGATATAGACACAGATAGATAGACACACACATATAGACACACACACAGATAGACACACAGATAGACACAGACACACAGATAGACACACACAGATAGACACACACAGATAGACACACAGATAGACACACACACAGATAGACACACACAGATAGACAAACACAGATAGACACGCAGATAGACACACACAGATAGACACACACGCAGATAGACACACACAGATAGACACACACACAGATAGACACACAGATAGACACACAGATATAGACACACAGATATAGACACACAGATATAGACACACAGATATAGACACACAGATATAGACACACAGATACACACACACAGATAGACACACACAGATAGACACACACAGATAGACACACACAGATATAGACACAGATAGACACACAGATAGACACACAGATAGACACACGCCTCTCGAGATACCTACACACAGATAGACACACAGATAGACACACACAGATAGACACACACACAGATAGACACACACAGATAGACACACAGATAGACACACAGATAGACACAGACACACACACAGATAGACACACAGATAGACACACACAGATACACACACATACACACAGATAGACACACACACAGATAGACACACAGATAGACACAGATAGACACACAGATAGACACACAGATAGACACACAGACACACACAGAGAGACACACACACAGATAGACACACACACAGAGAGACACACACAGATAGTCACACAGATAGACACACACACAGATATAGACACAGATAGATAGACACAGATAGATAGACACACACATATAGACACACACACAGATAGACACAGACACACAGATAGACACACACAGATAGACACACACAGATAGACACACACATATAGACACACACATATAGACACACACAGACACACAGATATAGACACACAGATATAGACACACACACAGACACACACAGAGACACACACACACAGACACACGCACAGACACACGCACAGACACACGCACAGATAGACACGCACAGATAGACACGCACAGATAGACACACACAGATAGACACACAGATAGACACACACAGATAGACACACACAGATAGACACACACAGATAGACACACACAGATATAGACACACACAGAGAGACACACAGATAGACACACACAGATACAGACACACACAGATAGACACACACAGATAGACACACAGATAGAGACACAGATATAGACACACACAGATACACACACACAGATAGACACAGATAGACACACAGATAGACACACACAGATAGACACACACAGACACACAGAGAGACACACACACAGATAGACACACACACAGAGAGACACACACAGATAGACACACAGATAGACACACACACACAGATATAGACACAGATAGATAGACACACACATATAGACACACACACAGATAGACACACAGATAGACACAGACACACAGATAGACACACACAGATAGACACACACATATAGACACACACATATAGACACACACAGATAGACACACACAGACACACAGATATAGACACACACAGAGACACACACACACAGACACACGCACAGACACACGCACAGATAGACACGCACAGATAGACACGCACAGATAGACACGCACAGATAGACACGCACAGATAGACACGCACAGATAGACACGCACAGATAGACACACACAGATAGACACACACAGATATAGACACACACAGAGAGACACACAGATAGACACACACAGATATAGACACACACAGATAGACACACACACAGATAGACACACACACAGATAGACACACAGATAGACACACACACACAGATATAGACACAGATAGATAGACACACACATATAGACACACACACAGATAGACACACAGATAGACACAGACACACAGATAGACACACACAGATAGACACACACATATAGACACACACAGATAGACACACACAGACACACAGATATAGACACACAGATATAGACACACAGATAGACACACACACAGACACACACAGAGACACACACACAGAGACACACACACACAGACACACGCACAGACACACGCACAGACACACGCACAGATAGACACGCACAGATAGACACACACAGATAGACACACAGATAGACACACAGATAGACATGCACAGATAGACACACAGATAGACACACACAGATAGACACACACAGATAGACACACACAGATATAGACACACACAGAGAGACACACAGATAGACACACACAGATATAGACACACACAGATAGACACACAGATAGAGACACAGATATAGACACACACAGATAGACACACACAGACACACAGATAGACACACAGATAGACACACAGATAGACACAGACACACAGATAGACACACAGATAGACACACACAGATAGACACACACAGATAGATACACACAGATAGACACACACAGATAGAAACACAGATAGACACACACATATAGACACACACATAGATAGACACACACACAGATAGACACACACAGATAGACACACACAGATAGACACACACAGATAGACACACAGATAGACACATACAGATAGACACACACAGACACACAGATAGACACACACAGACAGACACACAGATAGACACACAGATATACACACAGATAGACACACACACAGACACACACACAGACACACACAGATAGACACACACAGATAGACACACACAGATAGACACACACGGATAGACACACAGATAGACACACAGATAGACACACACACACAGATAGACACACACACACAGATAGACACACACACAGATAGACACACACAGATAGACACACACAGATAGTCACCAGTCTAGTCAGTCACCAGTCTAGTCAGTCACCAGTCTAGTCACCAGTCTAGTAAGTCACCTGTCTAGTCACCAGTCTAGTCACCAGTCAGTCACCAGTCTAGTCACCAGTCTAGTCAGTCACTAGTCTAGTCAGTCACCAGTCTAGTCACCAGTCTAGTCACCAGTCTAGTCACCAGTCTAGTCACCAGTCTAGTCACCAGTCTAGTCACCAGTCTAGTCAGTCACCAGTCTAGTCACCAGTCTAGTCACCAGTCTAGTCAGTCACCAGTCTAGTCACCAGTCTAGTAAGTCACCTGTCTAGTCACCAGTCTAGTCACCAGTCAGTCACCAGTCTAGTCACCAGTCTAGTCAGTCACTAGTCTAGTCAGTCACCAGTCTAGTCACCAGTCTAGTCACCAGTCTAGTCAGTCACCAGTCTAGTCACCAGTCTAGTCAGTCACCAGTCTAGTCACCAGTCTAGTCAGTCACCAGTCTAGTCACCAGTCTAGTCACCAGTCTAGTCACCAGTATAGTCAGTCACCAGTCTAGTCACCAGTCTAGTCACCAGTCTAGTCACCAGTCTAGTCACCAGTCTAGTCACCAGTATAGTCAGTCACTAGTCTAGTCACCAGTATAGTCACCAGTCTAGTCAGTCACCAGTCTAGTCACCAGTCTAGTCACCAGTCTAGTCACCAGTCTAGTCACCAGTCTAGTCACCAGTCTAGTCACCAGTCTAGTCACTAGTCTAGTCACTAGTCTCATCAGTCACCAGTCTAGTCACCAGTCTAGTCACCAGTCTAGTCAGTCACCAGTCTAGTCACCAGTCTAGTCACCTGTGATCTGATCCACCAGAATCCGTGAGGTGATGATGTGGCCGTACCGGCCAAACAAAATCTCCAGCTCCTTCTGAGTCATCGCCTTGGGCAGGCCGGTGACGTACAAATTGGTGTCCTTCAACTCCTCCGAGCTGGGACGTGCGTAGGACACCTTAGATAGACACACGGTGAGAGACACAGAGTGTGGGAGAGAGACAGAGTGAGAGACAGAGTGAGAGACAGAGACACAGAGTGAGAGACAGAGACACAGAGTGAGAGACAGAGAGTGTGGGAGAGAGACAGAGACACAGAGTGAGAGACAGAGTGAGAGACAGAGTGAGAGACAGAGTGAGAGACAGAGTGAGAGACAGAGTGAGAGACAGAGTGAGAGACAGAGTGAGAGACAGAGTGAGAGACAGAGAGAGAGACAGAGTGACAGAGACACAGTGAGAGAGACAGAGTGTGGGAGAGAGACAGAGAGACAGAGTGAGTGTGGGAGAGACACAGGGAGAGAGACAGAGAGACAGAGTGAGTGTGGGAGAGACACAGGAAGAGAGACACAGGGAGAGAGAGACAGAGTGAGTGTGAGAGAGACACAGAGAGAGAGACACAGGGAGAGAGACAGAGTGAGTGTGAGAGAGACAGAGAGACAGAGTGAGAGACAGAGTGAGTGTGGGAGAGAGACAGAGACAGATAGACAGAGACACCAATTTGTGACGTACAAATTGGTGTCCTTCAACTCCTCCGAGCTGGGACGCGCGTAGGACACCTTAGATAGACACACGGTGAGAGACAGAGAGACACAGAGTGAGAGACAGAGACACAGAGTGTGGGAGAGAGACAGAGAGACAGAGTGAGAGACAGAGAGGCAGAGTGAGAGGCAGAGTGAGAGACAGAGAGACACAGAGTGAGACACAGAGTGTGGGAGAGAGACAGAGTGAGAGGCAGAGACAGAGTGAGTGTGAGAGAGACAGAGTGAGAGTGGGAGAAAGACACACAGATAGACAGAGACAGAGTGACGTACAGATTTGTGTCCTTCAGCTCCTCCGAGCTCGGACGCGCGTACGACACCTTAGATAGACACGGGGAGAGAGACAGAGGGGGAGAGAGAGAGACAGAGAGAGACAGTCTCTGTCTGTGTGTGTCTCTCTGTGTCTCTCTGTGTGTCTCTGTGTGTGTGTCTCTCTGTCTCTGTGTCTCTCTGTATCTGTCTCTCTGTATGTCTCTCTCTCTGTCTCTCTGTCTATCTCTGTCTGTGTCTGCTACCTTGATTGTCTTGGACTGGAGTCGTAGTCCGTTGAGAGTGCCGATGGCTTTCTGTGTCTGTGTGTGTCTCTCTGTGTCTCTGTCTGTCTCTGTGTGTCTCTCTGTGTGTCTCTCTGTGTGTGTCTCTCTGTGTGTGTCTCTGTGTGTGTGTCTCTGTGTGTGTGTGTCTGTGTGTGTCTCTCTCTGTGTGTCTCTCTGTCTCTGTTTGTCTGTCTGTCTCTGTGTGTCTCTCTGTGTCTGTCTCTGTCTCTGTCTGTCTCTGTGTGTCTCTCTGTATCTCTGTCTGTCTCTCTGTGTGTCTCTCTGTGTCTGTCTCTCTGTGTGTCTCTCTGTGTCTGTCTCTGTGTCTCTGTGTGTCTGTCTGCTACCTTGATTGTCTTGGACTGGAGTCGTAGTCCGTTGAGAGTGCCGATGGCTTTCTCAGCCTCACGGGGATCCGAGAAGTTCACAAAACCGTAGCCCAGACTCATCCCTGAAGCAGCAACAACAACAACATCATCAACATCATCAACAACATCAACAACAACATCAACAACATCATCATCAACATCAACAACATCAACAACATCAACAACAACAACATCAACAACATCATCATCAACATCAACAACATCAACATCATCAACAACAACATCAACAACAACATCAACAACATCAACAACATTAACATCATCGTCAACATCAACATCATCAACATCAACAACAACATCAACAACATCAACAACAACATCATCAACAACAACATCAACATCAACAACATCATCAACAACAACATCATCAACATCAACAACATCATCAACAACATCATCAACAACAACAACATCAACAACATCAACAACATCATCTACATCAACAACAACAACATCAACAACATCATCAACATCATCAACAACATCATCAACAACATCAACAACAACATCAACATCATCAACAACATCAACAACAACAACAACATCATCAACATCAACAACAACAACATCATCAACAACAACATCATCAACAACAACAACATCATCAACAACAACATCAACATCATCAACATCAACAACATCAACAACAACATCAACAACAACATCAACAACATCAACAACATCAACATCATCATCAACAACATCATCAACATCATCAACAACATCATCAACAACATCAACAACAACATCATCAACAACAACATCAACAACATTAACATCATCAACAACATTAACAACAACATCAGTAGTAGTAGTAGCATCATCAGTAGTAGTATCATCATCATCAGTAGTATCATCATCAGCAGTAGCATCATCAATAGTAGTATAATCATCCGTAGTAGTAGTATAATCATCAATAGTAGTAGTATCATCATCAATAGTAGCATCATCAACAACATCAACATCAGTAGTAGTAGTATCATCATCAGTAGTAGTATCATCATCAATAGTAGTAGTATCATCATCAGTAGTAGTATCATCATCAGTAGTAGTATCATCATCAGTAGTAGTATCATCACCAGTAGTAGTATCATCATCATCAGTAGTAGTATCATCAGTAGTAGTAGTATCATCATCAGTAGTAGTATCATCATCATCAGTAGTAGTATCATCAGTAGTAGTAGTATCATCATCAGTAGGAGTAGTATCATCATCAGTAGTAGCATCATCATAATCAGTAGTAGTATCATCATAATCAGTAGTAGTATCATTAGTAGTAGTATCATCATCAGTAGTAGTAGTATCATCATCAGTAGTAGTATCATCATCATCATCAGTAGTAGTAGTATCATCATCAGTAGTATCATCATCAGTAGTAGTAGCATCATCATCAGTAGTAGTATCATCATAATCATCTTCAGTAGTATCATCATCAGTAGTAGTAGTATCATCATCAGTAGTAGTATCATCATCATCATCAGTAGTAGTAGTATCATCATCAGTAGTAGTATCATCATCAGTAGAAGTATCATCATCATCATTAGTAGTATCATCATCAGAATCATCATCATCAGCAACATCTTTTAGTCACCGTGTCTCTCTCACTGTGTCTGTGCATCTCTGTGTCTGTGTGTGTCTGTCTCTCTCTCTGTGTCTCTGTGTGTGTCTCTGTGTGTGTCTCTGTGTGTGTCTCTGTCTGTGTCTCTGTCTGTGTCTCTGTCTGTGTCTCTCTCTGTGTCTCTCTCTGTGTCTCTCTCTGTGTCTCTCTGGTGTCTCTGTGCGTGTCTCTGTGCGTGTCTCTGTGCGTGTCTCTCTTGTCTTACCGGTGAGCTTGTCTCTGATGAGTTTGCACGTGTCCACGTGACCCACGCTGCTGAACAGGTGATGCAGATCTTCCTGACTCATGCTCTGAGGGAGGTAGTTCACGATGAGGTTTGTGAGACCAGCTCCGTCATCGGACGAGGCGAGGGAGCCTGTCTCGCCGGGAGACTGCTGTCCACCTCCGAGCTTGGAGATCTCCATCTGGATAGACACAGAGACAGACAGAGAGAGACACACGGTGAGAGAGAGACAGAGAGAGAGAGAGACGGTGAGAGAGAGATAGAGAGAGAGACACACAGTGAGACACAGAGAGAGAGACACACAGTGAGAGACAGAGAGACACAGTGAGAGAGAGAGAGACACAGTGAGAGACAGAGAGAGAGACACACAGTGAGAGACAGAGAGACACAGTGAGAGACAGAGAGAGAGACACACAGTGAGAGAGAGACAGAGAGAGAGACACACAGTGAGAGACAGAGAGACACAGTGAGAGACACACAGTGAGAGACAGAGACACACAGTGAGACACAGAGAGAGAGACACACGGTGAGAGACAGAGAGACACACAGTGAGAGACACACAGTGAGAGACACAGAGACACAGTGAGAGACACAGAGATACGGTGAGAGACAGAGAGACACACGGTGAGAGACAGAGAGACACTGTGAGAGACAGAGAGACACACAGTGAGAGACAGAGAGACACACAGTGAGAGACAGAGACACACTGTGAGAGACAGAGAGACACAGTGAGAGACAGAGACACACAGTGAGAGACACACAGTGAGAGACAGAGAGACACACAGTGAGAGAGAGACACGGTGAGAGACAGAGAGACACACAGTGAGAGACAGAGACACACGGTGAGAGACAGAGACACACAGTGAGAGAGACAGAGAGACACACAGTGAGAGACAGAGAGACACACAGTGAGAGACACAGAGAGACACAGAGTGAGAGACACAGAGAGACACAGAGAGAGACACACAGTGAGAGACAGAGAGAGAGACACACAGTGAGAGACAGAGAGAGACACACAGTGAGAGAGACACACAGTGAGAGAGACACAGTGAGAGACAGAGAGACACAGTGAGAGACAGCGAGAGACACAGTGAGAGAGACACACAGTGAGAGACAGAGAGACAGACACACAGTGAGAGACTGAGAGACAGAGACACACAGTGAGAGAGACACAGTGAGAGACAGAGAGACACACAGTGAGAGACAGAGAGACACACAGTGAGAGACAGAGAGACACAGTGAGAGACAGAGAGAGACACAGTGAGAGACAGAGACACACAGTGAGAGACAGAGACACACAGTGAGAGACAGAGACACACAGTGAGAGACAGAGACACACAGTGAGACACACAGTGAGAGAGACAGAGAGACACAGTGAGAGAGACAGAGACACACAGTGAGAGACACAGAGAGACACACAGTGAGAGAGACAGAGAGAGACACAGTGAGAGACAGAGATACGCACGGTGAGAGACAGAGAGACACAGTGAGAGACAGAGAGACACAGAGAGATACACACAGTGAGAGACAGAGAGACACAGTGAGAGACAGAGACACAGTGAGAGAGACAGAGACACACAGTGAGAGACAGAGACACACAGAGAGACACACACAGTGAGAGACAGAGAGACACACAGTGAGAGACAGAGACACACAGTGAGAGACAGAGACACACAGTGAGAGAGACAGAGAGACACACAGTGAGAGAGAGACACACAGTGAGAGACAGAGACACACAGTGAGAGACAGAGACACACAGTGAGAGACAGAGAGACACACAGTGAGAGAGACAGACACACACGGTGAGAGACACAGAGACACACAGTGAGAGACACACAGAGAGATACACACAGTGAGAGACAGAGAGACACACAGTGAGAGACACAGAGAGACACAGTGAGAGACAGAGAGACACACAGTTAGAGAGACACACAGTGAGAGACAGAGAGACACACAGTGAGAGACAGAGACACACACGGTGAGAGACACAGAGAGAGACACAGTGAGAGACACACAGTGAGAGACAGAGACACACAGTGAGAGAGACATACAGTGAGAGACAGAGACACACAGTGAGAGACAGAGAGACACACAGTGAGAGACAGAGACACACGGTGAGAGACAGAGACACACAGTGAGAGAGACAGAGAGACACACAGTGAGAGACAGAGAGACACACACAGTGAGAGACACAGAGAGAGACACGGTGAGAGACAGAGAGACACACAGTGAGAGACACAGAGAGAGACACGGTGAGAGACAGAGAGACACAGTGAGAGAGACAGAGAGACACGGTGAGAGACAGAGAGACACAGTGAGAGAGACACACAGTGAGAGACACAGAGAGATACGGTGAGAGACAGAGAGACACACAGTGAGAGACACAGAGAGAGACACGGTGAGAGACAGAGAGAGACACAGTGAGAGACACAGAGAGACACACAGTGAGACAGAGAGACACACGGTGAGAGATAGACAGAGAGAGAGACACACAGTGAGAGACAGAGAGAGAGACACACAGTGAGAGAGACACACAGTGAGAGACAGAGAGACACACAGTGAGAGACAGAGAGATACGGTGAGAGACAGAGAGACACACAGTGAGAGACAGAGAGACACAGTGAGAGACAGAGAGAGAGACACACAGTGAGAGATACAGAGAGACACACAGTGAGAGACAGAGAGACACACGGTGAAAGAGAGACACAGAGAGAGAGACACACGGTGAGAGAGACAGAGAGAGACACACAGTGAGAGACAGAGACACACAGTGAGAGACAGAGAGAGAGACACACGGAGAGAGACAGAGAGACACAGTGAGAGACAGAGAGAGACACACAGTGAGAGACAGAGAGACACACAGTGAGAGACAGAGAGACACAGTGAGAGACAGAGAGAGAGACACAGTGAGAGACAGAGACACACAGTGAGAGACAGAGAGACACACACAGTGAGAGACACAGAGAGAGACACGGTGAGAGACAGAGAGACACACAGTGAGAGACACAGAGAGAGACACGGTGAGAGACAGAGAGACACAGTGAGAGAGACAGAGAGACACGGTGAGAGACAGAGAGACACAGTGAGAGAGACACACAGTGAGAGACACAGAGAGATACGGTGAGAGACAGAGAGACACACAGTGAGAGACACAGAGAGATACGGTGAGAGACAGAGAGAGACACAGTGAGAGACACAGAGAGACACACAGTGAGACAGAGAGACACACGGTGAGAGATAGACAGAGAGAGAGACACACAGTGAGAGACAGAGAGAGAGACACACAGTGAGAGAGACACACAGTGAGAGACAGAGAGACACACAGTGAGAGACAGAGAGATACGGTGAGAGACAGAGAGACACACAGTGAGAGACAGAGAGACACAGTGAGAGACAGAGAGAGAGACACACAGTGAGAGATACAGAGAGACACACAGTGAGAGACAGAGAGACACACGGTGAAAGAGAGACACAGAGAGAGAGACACACGGTGAGAGAGACAGAGAGAGACACACAGTGAGAGACAGAGACACACAGTGAGAGACAGAGAGAGAGACACACGGAGAGAGACAGAGAGACACAGTGAGAGACAGAGAGAGACACACAGTGAGAGACAGAGAGACACACAGTGAGAGACAGAGAGACACAGTGAGAGACAGAGAGAGAGACACAGTGAGAGACAGAGAGAGACACACAGTGAGAGACAGAGACACACAGTGAGAGACAGAGAGACACACAGTGAGAGAGACACACAGTGAGAGACAGAGAGAGAGACACAGTGAGACACACACGGTGAGAGAGACAGAGAGAGACAAACGGTGAGAGACAGACACACAGTGAGACAGAGAGACACACAGTGAGAGACAGAGAGACACAGTGAGAGACAGAGAGACACAGTGAGAGACAGAGAGACACACAGTGAGAGACAGAGAGACACACAGTGAGAGACAGAGACACACAGTGAGAGACAGAGAGACACACGGTGAGAGACAGAGAGACACAGTGAGAGACACAGAGAGATACACAGTGAGAGAGACACACAGTGAGAGAGACACACAGTGAGAGACAGAGAGACACACAGTGAGAGACAGAGAGAGAGACACAGTGAGAGACAGTGAGAGACACACAGTGAGAGAGACACACGGTGAGAGACAGAGAGACACACAGAGAGAGAGACACAGTGAGAGACAGAGAGACACACAGTGAGAGACAGAGACACACAGTGAGAGAGACACACAGTGAGAGACAGAGAGAGACACAGTGAGAGACACAGAGAGAGAGACACAGTGAGAGACAGAGACACACAGTGAGAGACAGAGACACACAGTGAGAGAGACACACAGTGAGAGACAGAGACACACAGTGAGAGAGACACACAGTGAGAGACAGAGACACACAGAGAGAGAGACACACGGTGAGAGACAGAGACACACAGAGAGAGAGACACACGGTGAGAGACAGAGAGACACACAGTGAGAGACAGAGACACACAGAGAGAGAGACACACAGTGAGAGACAGAGACACACAGTGAGAGACAGAGAGAGAGACACACAGTGAGAGACAGAGAGACACACAGTGAGAGACAGAGACACACAGTGAGAGACAGAGACACACAGTGAGAGAGACACACAGTGAGAGACACAGAGAGACACACAGTGAGAGACAGAGAGACACACAGAGAGAGACAGAGACACACAGTGAGAGACACAGAGACACACACAGTGAGAGACACAGAGAGACACACAGTGAGAGACAGAGAGACACACAGAGAGAGACAGAGACACACAGTGAGAGACACAGAGACACACACAGTGAGAGACACAGAGAGACACACAGTGAGAGACAGAGACACACAGAGAGAGACAGAGACACACAGTGAGAGACAGAGACACACAGTGAGAGACAGAGAGACACACAGTGAGAGACAGAGACACACAGTGAGAGAGACACACAGTGAGAGACAGAGACACACAGTGAGATACAGAGAGACACACAGTGAGAGACAGAGACACACAGTGAGAGACACAGAGAGACACACAGTGAGAGACACAGAGAGAGACACACAGTGAGAGACAGAGAGACACACAGTGAGAGACAGAGACACACAGTGAGAGACACAGAGAGACACACAGTGAGAGACACAGAGAGACACACACAGTGAGAGACACAGAGAGACACAC